GCAAAATGTTGCTGCTTCCATTGTATGTATGTGTGTGTTTGTATGTGTGGATTTGATGCATCTATTAGTGTTGCTCATTGCTGTGCAAACCGACATATCCACAAATTCTACCGCCGGCGCGTATTGGCATGTATTGTAGAATTGTAGCGTAACGTAATTAGTGGAAAGTGCAGAGCGCGAGTCTGGGCGGAGGCGCCGGGCAAGTTGTGAGGAAAAGCTTAGCAAGGCGATGGCGTTAATTAGCGTTATTCGGCACGTACATTTGGCTCTCGCGGTAGATGAATTGATGTCGAATGGATGTATCTAGGGCGCGTGTGTGGCTTGCAGCGGTGTTGATTTTATTGGCTTCTATTAAACACTAGCGAGACGGATTTTACTAATCTTGTTGAATTAGTTGCAGCTGTATATTGAAACTGTTATCAACAGCGAATATTAACTTTCGGTGTTTTTTCAGATTAAGTCAATAATTAACTAAATCAATTAAAATTCTTTCTCGCGGAATGTTGATCATTATTTTTGTTGCCGGAGAACAAAGAAAACTCAACACCAGTCTAACACGAATTTTCTGGGGAAAGATTAATGGTCTGCCGGACGTTTTGCGTTTCCTTCATTTTTCTGCGGCATGGTTTTTGCATTGCATCCATTTGCACCGATGTCCAACGCTCAATTCTTCTTTCGTTTTTTACGCGTTTCTTTCGGTTTTTGCTCCACGTGGGTCAGTTTCTTCTATACGTGGCTATTTGTTATGAATTTGTTGGTTGGAAACGGTGAATCTCATGAAAAATGCGTGGAATAGTATTATACCTGCTTTCACCTCACGCTGAAAGCATCTATTTCTATGATAAACAAAAATTTTAAAAATATGTAAAAATATTGTGTCAAATGTTTTATTTTGTTTTTTATGTTAATTCCATTCTATTATAAAATTTAATGTAAAAAATAATAGCACTATATGTTAAATTTTTAGCTTTATTTTTCTTTATTTGTTAATGCTTATTATTGTTTGCAGAACAATGACGATTGTTTGTAAACCGTGATTTTTTATTCTTGACTTTTCTCGTTTGTTTTCGCATGGAAATAAATGGTGTACGTACGAGGAAAATCTAGGCGAGCGCGTACTTTAAATGCAAAAGTTTTTACTGCATCCAATTAAAAGTCCAACTACTCAACGCCAAAACTCAAAAAGTTTAAATATCCGCGTCAAACTGAAAACAAGCATTGCGTACTTACGTAACACACGTATTTTTAACAAACAATTTTTTATAATATCAGTCGGATTAGATTTTGAATAAAAAGGTTCCACTAATTATTTTTTTATTCTTTGGAGCTATTGTGTGTCCGTTTCGTATTAACATTATTAACATTGAAAATGTTAATTTATAGAAATGAGAAATGCTCATAATACTTTTCTATGCCATATCGATTTGAATTAATTAATTGTAGCTATTATTGTATTTCTATATCAATTTTTATTTCTGATCATATGCCATTCTAGATTTATATTTATTAACAAAATGAAACTCATTAATAAAAATACCTGTATATTAAAATATATTAAAATTTGTTTTTGAGGATTTTCTTTGAAAGGGCCACAAACAAACAAAGCCATATTAAATTTATAAGTAGTATTAGTAATTAGTATTAGCAATTAGAATTAGTAAAACATTATTAAAGCATAATATCCCACATTGTTTGATAAGTACGTGATTATTAAATTCAACAATAATAATATAACCTCATTAAACTATTACTTTGTATATTCAGTTTAAACTGAAACTTTGTTCAACTTTTTGTGCAAATAAAAAATAAATACAGTGTAGAAAAGCAGTACATCTTTCGAAGATTTGGAAGATCATAAGTCTCAAGCTGCAAGCTTCAAGCTTTTACGCTGGTCTTGTTTTGTTCTTGCGAGCGCTGCGCTTCTTTGCCTCACGCGTCGCAGTTGTTTCTTTGCTGCTCACGCTCTTCACACCTCGCTAACTTTCAGCTCCTTCAGCCGCCCTCGACGGCTGCGGCTCCTTCTCTAGGAGAGTTGGTACATTCTTTATGCAGGCGAAACCTCATCCTCAACCTCAACAAACCTCACGCCGAGCTTTAACCGCAGGTACAGAATAAAACTAGCAAGTATGTACACACAGCATTTCTCATGTATTTACCAGTACCGTGCTATTAGTTTTAAAATATGATAATCTTCGAAAAGAGTGCCCGAAAGCTCACCTACAAGTCTTCCACGAAACGCATAAGTTTACCGAAAGCTTTAAAGACTTTTTTACTGCAAATACAGCAAACTTTTCCGCTGTTTAGGTAATAACTAATTCTCGAAACTAAATAATACTCTTAATTAAAAAGCTTTTCACATAAAATTTATGCTTTTGAAGTGGTTTTTTGTGTATGATCATACAGTAGGAAATTTTATTTACTAAATTTATAACACTTGTGTGTATTTGAGCTTGGAACGTTTATGTCGACGCTAGGGTCCTCCTAAATTATTTATACCAATTGTTTTTTCTTCCGTTTGCCTTCACATCCAGTACGTGCTTGTTGTTGGAAACCCGAGATAACTCCGTATCTGCGCACTTGCGCAGCAAAACGTCAACTTTGTTGTTGCCTTGCTGGCGAAACTCGAGCCTTGAGCCATTATGCTTTATCTTTCAAAATTTTCCCCGAGAAGTAGGACGGAAGGAATCATGGCTGATACTTTTCGGGGCACAACTGAGCAAAATTTAGCACAACGAAGCAAAACTTTAAACTTTACGCTATTCAAATTCAAGTTTCAAGAGTGATTGCATTAAATATTCAAACAATTACTTACTGGTAAAACCATAAAAAACTTTTTTCTTTTTCCTACAAAATTTTCACAATCTGTCGAATGTGATGCCTGTGACTTTCAGGGAGAACTAACTAAATTAACACTAAAAGTTAGATGTAATACATTTATCTTCTCAATCTAACCTGTTTGCCTATCTTGTAAATTTCAAATGAAACGACAAAGTTCTAAACAAATTTGAAGACTTCTCAACTCACTTCCACTTTGGAGTAAACTTACCACCCCGTTTGTTACCAGTGACATGCATTAGTGACATTAATGATAGTTATAACTTTCGCGGAGATTTATCACGACACAGTTTCAACTCAAGGTGATTTTGTGCATGCCACATATTCATATTGATGTGGATTAGAAATGAGGCGAGAAATATGCTTTCGACTTAAGTCAAGTGCTTAACTTCTAGTGCTAGTGGCTTGTAATCGCTGAAATAAATGTAAATGCGAAGACGTAATTGCTAGCTATTGCGAACGCGAGAATTGTGAAGACAAAATTGTAAGATATACGGCTGTGCGCTTTCAAAACGACATAAAACGCAGACGTAGACGTCTAATTGGTACGCGCATGAATGTGTGCGCGGTGTAAGGTGTTGGTGAAGGCGCCGGGCACACGCGGCTTCAAGACTACGGGAGTAAGCAATTTGAGGAATTGCTTGCGTACGTCTTACGTATTACATCTTGCATCTTGTGTTCTGTGTCTTACTGCTGGATTGAACTCTGAGAGCACAAAGCCCGCTGGAAGCCTGAAGGATTAACGCGTTTAAACTGTGTGTTGCGTCGCGTGGTTCATTTGAAGCTGTGCGTGAGGAAAATTGAGGGTTGAAGTGGGCGATGGGATGACGCCAAGATTGGAGCATAGGAAGGTGTTCCCGCTGAGGTGAATTAAGGTGAATTACTCTCACGCCGCGTGGCAATAAAACGCGGAATGTCGAGGGTGTGCGCAATATGAAACTAAATTAAAACATTAACCTAGAAATCGAGTTTTTTTCTGCGCATGCGCACTAAAATAATAATTGAATATTGTAGAAAATTATTGGCTACCTTCGATTTTCCATTAGAAAGTGGATTATCTACGTTATTAATACTTTTCTCATCAAACTCGAGGCTCAGGAGAAAAACTTTTTTCTTTGTCTTGCTTAAGATTGTTATTCTTTCAAACTTATGCAAAACTTTTTGTGTGCCGTTTTTGGTTTGCTCTTTTCTGCACCACACAACTTTTGTACATTTTGTGAGGTCTTTGGAGGGCCTGCGAGTGGGACGCATGTCGTTTATTTCAATAAGGTCAAAGTATCGCCAAGTAATAACGACGATGTCGAAGTCGATACGAAGACGATGTTGACGCTTGGCACAAAAAAAGACTGGGCCTGTGAGTGTTGGTGGTGGTATAGAGCGCCCTATGGTGCCGATGGCAGGATAGATATCCGACTAGGGGAGGCTTACGCTTCGAAAGTGAAGCCGTCGGTAATGCGAGACAAACAAGTCGATCGATCAATCTCCATTTGTTGTTGTGCGGTTGCTGGTCCGTTCGTTCTCATCCCTGATATTTCCGTATTACGCGTAGTTCATAACCAACAAGTGCAAAAATTTATTAAATTGTTGTATTTTTTTATTTTAAAAGAAAACTTTGTTGTTTATTTAAAGGGGTAAATTTTAGATTTAGGGGTGAATTTTTCTACCTCACACGGTTGAGGTAGTAATACGGAATTTATTAAACCCCATGCGATTTTATCTCGTTGGACGTGTGCGCGCGCGTTTTTCACTTATTTACAACCCTCATAAATCGTATTTGTTTATATCAGCGTGTTTTCCGGCGCACATCTCGGCTCATATTCGGGTTTTTATATTCGTACGTGTTGTTTTGGACAGGGCAATGCGCTATTGTTGCTGTTAACCTGCAATAACATTTATAATGCTCTTATACCAACACTCGAACCTGTTCGCCGCCCCCCAAACACGTAATCGTTTTAAACAAATTTCAAATCTCACGCACAAATAAAATTAAATAATAATCGCATTAGTGTTATCGCGTATTTGTTCAACGCATATTAAAAGAGATTAATTTTAATTGTTTCCATGATGTGCACGTTGTCCGGCGCCTCCACCATGAGGTAGTGTGTGGGCTATGAATTGTGTGGTATCATTTCAACAAGCTCATAAAGGTTTTTTTCTCGTTGCAGGATGGAGCAGTCCGAAAACATTCAACGACGAGGAGAGCGGATCGCTGGACGCCGAGGGCGCTGAGCTGGAACCGTTGATCATCAATCGCGGTCCTTATTTTGATAAAACCGCGTCGAAAAATGTCACCGCACTGGTGGGGAAAACCTCCTACTTGAATTGTAAAATTCGCAATGTTGGAAATCGTACGGTAAGCACATCTCTAATGAATTTAATGTGTAATTTTGAGCGGATTTAATGACAGCGTACGTTTATGCGGCAAACGTGGTTATCTCGTTAACTCATTACGGGAATTGGCGTTCCGCGCGACCGCCATTTTTTAATTAACTCACTAACGAAACTACAAAACGCCATTATGCGCGAATGACCTATATACTTGCGTCCGGGGGCGCGAGAATGCGAGCATAATACGAGCGCACGAGTGCATACGAACTTTGCTTACGTCTTCCTGCTTCCTGCCGCCCGTGCGCCGCCTCCGGCAGACTTTGAAATTAAATTGGAAAAAGGGCAAGCGGCGGAGGCGAAATTTAAGAGTTGAAATTTTATTAAACAAGTTTAAGGAACTCTACGCTGGTACTTCTATTTTCAACGTTTTTATATATACAGGGTGTTCATTTAAAAATAAAAATTGACAAATTTCATATGTTTAATTTGAATAATTACAAATATTATTCTTTATTTTTTCATTTTTTTAAATTTAACTTTAAAGTTTTGTGTACTTTATTACGTAATAGTTAATTTAATATGAGGTTAAATTTCTTACGTGCTACTTTTGAGCGTTTTGCCTTTAATGTAATATTGCAGTAAGTAAACGTGAATGTGAACGCGCCGACGATGTGCGATGGTGCACAAAGCGCAGAGTGCCGAAAATTGAATATTCCGGTGTGCATAACTCCCGCCTCCGCCTTCCACAGCGCACCTCAACCGCATTTTCACGCCGAATTCTGCGTTTATTTCAATTTTTCTTTTTTCATACTTCACACATGCCTAGCTGCACACAATTCAACATGTCTTCATTTCTTAAAACATCCCCTAAGAAAACACCCTTACTTTTTTCCTTTTCCTTTGTTTCATATTGTTTTTCTTATTTACGTCTGTTTTTTCTTCTCGGAAGCTTTTTTTGTTTATTTTATGAATGGCGGTGAAATATGATTTGGAAAGGTGTTGACTAGTGTGGTTAGCACTCGCATAATACGTGCCCATGCGTGTTGCGCCTTAATAGCGCCCGGGTTCTGGAGATATTTGCGATCGTAAAGTGTGCACCTTATGGTTAGCGAGTGTGGAGGCGCCTGGCAACAGCGGAAAGAGGTGTGTGCAACCGTGCGTTAAGAACAAAAGGACTAAAATTATGACAAGAGTGGAAAACTAAAATTAAGGAAGCCAAGTGAGTGTTAAACAATGGCAACATGGTTAATTTAGTTAATTATAAAACAATTTGGAGAGAAACTTTGACATTGTAACTTTTTTCGATTTTCTTATACTGTTTTGTTCCTAGCAACTAGTTAGTTTATTTATACTCCGTTTGCAATACCTGAATACAGAACTTTTTTCTTTATCAAATTAACTTTAAAAATACATTTGTATGCTTTGCTCCAGCTAGAGGTAGTTAACTTTTGAAATATGTTACTCTCTGCGCTGTGTTGCAAAAAACCTCCAACACAGCGCACAATTTATATTTTTTCCGTTTTTTTTTGCGGGTCACAGAGAAGCAAAGATTTGGTGCTCGAGGGCATCGCCAACGCGTTGCGCTTTTCTTTGCTGCCGTTTGTTACCACACTTTACCCGTTTTTTTACACTCTGAAACTTTAGCTGACGGTGTAAAAAGGTTATTGATTCAATTTTTCGTATTTTTTACTTGTTGTTAAAACCTTTACAATGAATTTTGTAATTACTGATTTATTTTTTCTTGCTTTGAGCATACTGTATTTTTTGCGAATACGTTCTTTGTTTTTTTCTTCCGCTTGAATCGACAATCGATTGACTCACGATGCTCCGTCTGCGTAAAACAAAAAACGAATTAATGCCATTATCGTCGTTTCAAAAGAAACGAAATTATCAAACGCTGCAGCTTTAGGAGCAAAGATATTTAGAAAATTGGCGGAAAATCAATGCGTAAGTGACTCGTTCCGTTGGTTTGCGACGGCAAACACAACCAGGTCTAGGCGAAAAAAGCTGAAAACGTGACAACGACGCAACCAGAGAAAATGTGGAAATCCTTGCGACAATCTCATCGCACGCATAAAAGATTGGAGACATTGGTGCAAACGTGGAATATGCGAGTTGTGCGAAACATAAGAAAAGTGGATAAAGTGAAAAGCACAAAACAGGAAAAATGACAAAAAGGAGAAACAGCAAGATTTTTAGGCATCGGCGTTGATTTTATTCTTTGAGTAAACACAACAACCGCAATTGTACAAATATACAGAGTGTGGTAAAAAACTTATAAAAGAATATTTCGTACAAAATTGAGTTCTTTAAACATTCAGTAAAATTCTATTGTCTTTTGTGTTGACTCATCTTATTACGGAACATTAGGAAAATGGCAAATGGACGCAAATGCAATTTGCAGAGAATTCCTGCGTAAAAAACGTCGGAAAAGCCGCTTTACGGGAGCAAATTGACAAAAACATTTAGAAGATATATTTAACCTCACGTAAAACAAGAAAAAAAATTACAAAATAAAATATAAAAACATCAACGAATTAAAGTCTAACTTAAAAACCAATTTAAGACTATAACATTAATGTATTTTGGTATGAGTTCAATGTATAATTAATTAAATTTAAAGTCTGAAACTTTTTCCATCTACAAATATCAAAGTTTGACTTTGAGCTCTTTGGAGCGCCCACGCACACGCTGGCCCCCTTAAAATATCAAATTTGTCTCCGTCATAATTTGAGCTGGTAGCTGTGCGCGCGACATAAGGACTTTTATTGTAATTATAATGATGGTTTGAGCGACGTTAGTTCACCTCGTCCTCGTTCTGGTTTGTGTTTTCTTGTTAAACGCGAATGCGAACCAGTTCGCCAGCACATTTGCTCAATTTTAAGTTCGCTACTCTGCAAACTGCACTACTTTCCTCGTAATTATTCATCGTTATTCATCAATCATTAAAATGAAGTACGTAGCTACATAGCAACATAATAAATGCATCAATTTATCAAGCGAATCGAATTTTTGTCGTTTACGCTTATAACTTTTATAATTAATTATTAATAAGTATCAAATTGAATTATTGTAAATTATGTTTATACGGAGAATAAAATTAGAACAGTTTAAAGGTGAGGTGAGTAGTAATAAAACAATATTAACTCATATATGATGCCGTATTATGTCATAATGAAAATAGCAACGTTGCTGTTAACCTGATATTAATGCGGCAACAACCTCATTAATTCATTAAATTTGCCGAATTTCATGGTTAGTTGAAGGGTTTCGGATGCGCGCCCGCTGTAATACACTTTCAAAAGGGCTGGGCCGACGCGTCGGTTAGAAAAGCACTTAAAACCATCAGCGATATAGGCGGCAATTAATTATTTACTAATTAAATAATAATAATCCGAGCGGCAGCACCACGCTGACTTGACGTAGGTGCTTCCGCATATCTGCGAACATATATTTGAGCTTTTCCCATTTCAATATGCTTTTAAACATTAAACAACAAACGTCTGATTAAATTTATCCACTGAGATATATTTATATCCTTAAAAATTATTCATAAACTTGTTTATAGTTCAGTTTAAAATATAGCAGCAGAAATAAATTATGATAATGTGTTGAATTTTTTCGCTGTGCAGGCTATTAAATGTCCGCGCTTGGAAATTTATGAAAATCTAGTGCGGCCTGATAAATCTTTTTCCGTGGGCGGGCGAAGTGCATCTCTTGATGGTTTTTGTGCTCCCTCGGCAGACCGCGTCCCGCTATTATCCTGCGGTTATTGATGGCAAAATGCATTATAGATTTTGCCACAGCGTCAGCGAACGCGATTTTTTTTCCGTGTTGCGTTTTGTCGAGTGACGGCCGCGCTGGAATTACATCCATTCATTGGGGGTTAGAGGGGGCGTTGAGGATAAAGCGAGAAATGATAAAACGTGGCCCAAATCGCGCCGTCATCTATCTATAACTTTGTGCTGGGGTGTTCCGCGGGGACAAAGTGCTGGAATTACACGTTAAATGCTTAAAGCCAGTTGCAGTTGATGACCGGTAAAAAGCGGGAAAAAATTTGATTGCTTTGCGCTCGGATTAAAAATCGTTACAAGCTGTAAAACCCTTGAAATTAATTGCTTCGCACAAATAAAACTACAAAACATGCAAATGTCAAACAATGATTTTTAATAATACTTTTATTTTATGTTTTTTTTTAGTGCAACTTGTAATTTATACACTAGTAGAAAACTTTCTGAAGTATTTAATTTTGAATTTGCGGTGTTTGCAACATAAATTATTTTTTAGGTTCAAAAACCTCATTTTTCTTGCGTTCCTCGTGACTTTTCACGTCGCCGACGTCGGCTGCGTCGGCGGCATTCATCATTACGCGTTATTCTCCCATTGCATTTCTGCATTTTGCATCTCTTATCCTAGAGTTCAACATTCACCGCATGCGATATGAGTGCAGTTGTTCCCCCGATCATTTGCTCATTCATCTCGGTCATCTTTACGCTACGCTACGACTAAAATGCCGGTCCAAAAAATTTAAATTAAAAAATTTCATATTTCTTATCTGCACCCTCAGGAAACCGCCATATTTTCAACTAGTTACACTATCTTTAAACGCATAATTCAAACTTTAAAAATTCTGTCTTCATTATTCATCGTGTTTTCGTGTTTTTTGCAGTTATTATTTTAAGAAAAGGGATAGGGAAGTAGGTTTTGGTGCTATCACTAAAATTCACACCCAACTCAATTTTTTGTGCGCTACAACGCGTGACCCTCTTTTTTGGCACTTCCTTAGTAGAATCTAAGACGCTATGGCAAACCTAACCTCACATCTAGGTTTAAGAGAGTCCCTATCAGACTCGGCCGACACGTAATGCGGATGACAAATGGTAGCGGATATGGGATGCTCCAGCAGTGCCTTAGACCTAATCGTAGGCAGGAAACGGGTGTATCGACTCTCAGAAACCATACATCACACCATACACCAGAAGTTTTACCATCTGCATCTTACAAAATAGCAGATTATTTAACACA